GCAGTAATCCTTTTGCATAAAGTCTCGTTCCTTATAAGTTGGGATTTAATCTGTATTTGACTTTCCTTTCCTTAAAAACACACAACAAAAACAGGGCGGGGGGTCAGGGGGAGATGATAATATGCGTGGAAAGGATGAAAAGAGATGGTGTGTATAAACCCCTGTTGGGAATACCGTCTAAACAACACCCATCTGCTTCAGACGTGCTGTGCAGAGAGGGGGCGTTTCAGGCAGAGTCAAATGTTTCCTGTCACCCCTCTTCACACTGCGGTCCAGTGCCACGTGAAGCACAGGTAGTAATTAATAAAAATCTGCGTCAGGGCAAATATTGGAACCAGAGGCCCAGAACACTTTGGAGATGCGTCTCCGACATCGACAGGGCCAAGCTATAAGCCAGTGTAGTTGACTCGTGGAGGGGAAGGGGCCAGGGCTCTGGGCAGCTGGGCCCCGTTCCAACCCTGACTCTGTAACTCTAGGTTATTAATCAGCCATGTAGGTTCTTCTTCTCCAAGTCCCAATTTCCTGTCTGTGAACTGGAGATAAAGCTCCCTCAGCCTTGTTCTGAAGGCCAAGGGAATGAAAGAGACACAGACATTTTTATCTCGGTGGCTGGATACAGCATTACTCAAGACATATTTCTTTTCTTTCCCCAAATAAACTAGCACCTTTCATTTTGACAGATTAAAAAATAAGCCTATTTCATTTTAATTTTTTAAATCCTCACCCAAGGACATGTTTTTATTGATTTTTAGAGAGAGAGGAAGGANCAGATTAAAAAATAAGCCTATTTCATTTTAATTTTTTAAATCCTCACCCAAGGACATGTTTTTATTGATTTTTAGAGGGAGAGGAACATTGATCAGTTGCCTCCAGTATGCACCCTGACTGGGGATTGAACCCACAACCTAGGTATGTGCCCTGATCAGAAATCGATCCTGAAACCTTTGGTGTGTGGGATTACACTCCACCTGGCCAGGACAAATCTATTTCATTATATAAAAATGTTCTTAAGTTTGCATTATTTACATGTATACATTATATAGAACATATGAATGAATGCTTTCATGAAATATATCTATAGCAAAAGAAAGTAAATAGAATCAAACCATATTTCAAATGAGATAATCTGCAGTAAACTAATACTTTTTCAGGGAAAATAAAAACGCATTTTAATTTTCTACAACTACTTTTGAAGTCCATAGTAATGACCATTATGTACTGTCAGCCACAGCTTGGGGACTGGTTTTGTTTAAAGAAGCCCTTAGCAAGCTTCACCCATGGTGGTTGACCAGCAACCTGGTTCCTGGGTTTTTCTGAAGCATCTTTCCCATTGCCAACTAGACTGGGTTTCTTTTGCAATTATGATACAGGATCCGAATGTGTGTGGCCTCCCCTGGCTCCTGCACTAAGTGGCCTCTGGAGAGCTCTGTTGCTTCTTTGCAAAATCTATGAAAGGCACTTTTATTAGTCACCCGTGATAGCTTGTACTCCTTCTTTGTTAGTGTCGTAGTAGATTCAAAAAGAAAACATTCCTCCCAGATGATGCAAAATCATTTCGTCTCTAGAGAAAGGAAGTTCTGTTAAATTGGTATGCAATTAGCTCTGTCAACAGTGGCAAGTAGGAGTTTGGGTAGGAAGTGTGTCGTAATGGAAACAGTGCAGTTCTGAGAGTCAAGCTCAGCTTTCAGGTCTCCTTAGTCATGCCACTTGGGTTAAGTGAACTTAGTTGCCCAAGCCTCAGTTTCCCCATCTCGTGGGGCTAATATGCAGATTAAATAAATCATATGTGTAAAATGCCTACCACAGTGTCTGATACATATTAGGTGTCAGACCCTAGATTCCCTCACCAATTTCAACTCCCCCCATTCAATAAAAAGAGGAGTGGCATCTCCATACTCAGTTTTTAAGGTTTTCTTGCCCAGCCTTTTCAACCTCACCTGCTCTTATAGGTGAGTGGTAAGCGATGGGAACTTGGCATCTCCCTAATCCTAATCCTTACTCAGGACTCCCCACAAACAGCTTCGTCTTGAACAGATATTAAGACAAATGTCTTGGGCCCAAGGATATCCCCCTGTGGGTTGCAGTTTTTTTTATAGTTCAGGAGGGTATGTTGCTTTTTCATTCTAGTGTTTCAATGGGTTTTTAACATCTTTCTGCACTGCTGTGCTCTTTTCTCTGGAGGTATGTACAACTCCAGGTGTGAGATGCCAGGAGTTTCCACACTAGACTTGGGGGATGGCCAGCTGGTGATGTGACGAGATTGCTCTCAACCTCCTCACATCAATGTGAATTCTTCAGGAATACCTTCCTGAGTGTAAATGCCCAATAACTTCATTTTGAATAGGGCACAGATGGACTCAATAAATTGGCAACTCAGGGCCGTTCATCTTTGACCAGATTGAGAATTACAGGAATCGCAGAGCCTGAGGAAAGCCATTTCTCACTGCCTGCATGAATGAAAGAGAGGAAGAGTAGAGGAAGGAAGAGGGCTGATGGAATCTGAGAGGAAATGCCCGGGAAACATGGGTCTTCGGATCCCTCAAGGAAGGAAGGCATCTGAAAATCCTCCGCTGAGAGGAGGAGCCTGTTACTAACGGGTGTGGTTTCTAGTCTGAAACGACTAGAATGAGCTTTGGCAAACGCACTGAAAGAACTCTCAGGCCCATGGCCCATGGCCCATGGTTTCTGGAAAACACACCAGGGAGAATTACCTGTCAGGTGTGCCCTTGGCTTATCTACACCAGCTTCGGGAGGTGCATCTGTAAGGAACGGAGAGAAAAATGCTTTGTATGAGCCAGCAGGTGACTGGAATGAAGACAACATTTAGGGAGTTGCATGGTGCCTGCAACCGGAGAGAAATACTCCTCTTCTCCAGCCTGGTCCAGTTCCCCTCTCTGTGAATTTTTTTTTCAGGAGAAAGTCTTAAACACAAATGAATCTTGGCTCCATGACTTTGGACAAGTTATCTAATCTCAGACTTTGTTTTCTCATCTCTAAGATGGGCACATTAATTCCTGCCATGGATGGAAAGTGTTCAGAATGATCCCTGGCATATGATGGGTGCTCGATAAACCTCACCTTGTCTCTCCTTTCCTCCTACTGCCTCTGTGGGAGCTAAGTGGTCTTTTGCCTTTTTCATGTTCTCTTTAACCATATCCATTGAGATATCTGGATGGCCTAAGAGAATGGGGTGGGAATCACTCTGTAGCTATATGACCTTGATAGGTCCCTTTCCCTTTTGGGTCCTCTGCTTCCCTGTCAGTTCTCCAGAAGACCTCGATTTCCTTTTGGTTCTTAGAAAGGATTGTATTAGATGGGTGTGTCCTAATTGCAGTGATAAAGATGGTGTTTTTGATGATAAAAAGGAAAAATCACTGTATTTTGATGTGGTAGGCATTGTTCTAATGCCTTTGTAGGAATTAGCTAATTTAATCTACACAAACCCTGGGAGGTAGGTACTATCATAATCATTTTTATAGGTGAGTAAAATGAGACGGAGACAGGTGAAATTATTGCCCAAAGCTCAACCCACAGGCCCTGCACTTGGCCATGGCACCATTTTGCCTTCGTGGTGGCTGGGGAGCCCCCTCACGTCTCCTCTGGGTTTGCATCCCCCTGAATCTCCTACACCAGAGCTATCAGATACTGTATGTTCTCCCCCCCCCAGAGAAGGCATCAAGTGTGAAATACTTACAAGCTCGCTGATGTGAAGGTCCAGGTTCCTGTCCTTCTGGAGTCTGTTGGGAAAGAAAGACGTGGTTCAGACCATCTGTGGTCCTTTTGACCCCCAACGTCCACTCAGCTGCCCAAAGCAGGGGCATGATTAGGAGGCTGCCGCCACCCAGCCGGGCCCTCTGAGATGAGGGCAATGGGAGTGAGAGTCCTTCGGTCGATGGGAATCTCGCACCCGAGCTCTCCGCCTGTCTCCTCCAGCANGCCCTCTGAGATGAGGGCAATGGGAGTGAGAGTCCTTCGGTCGATGGGAATCTCGCACCCGAGCTCTCCGCCTGTCTCCCTGCTGACATGTCTCTCTTACGCTTGTCTCCGAAGCCCACCTTAGAGGTTCTGTCCTGAGAGCTGTCCCCGTTCTTTTCTAGGCCACTCCAGCATCACGCCAGTGGTTCTGTTATTTAAACAAATAATGGCACTTGCTTCATTTCTTTTTTTTCATCACAATTTAGAAATTGGAACTATTTTTAAAAAATGATACCAAAAAAGAAAGAAGCCCTGTGTTCTCCTTCTCCTCGGTCTCTACAATTCTTTCTTGTTTTCTTGTGATGCATGGAGACTTTTTCCTCATGGCAATCCCAGCTTGCGAGCAATTGCAGGTGCCACGTGGCGCTGGGGGGGACCTGCCTTCCAGGCAGACAGGCCTGGCCTGAGGCCTGATTCCACCGTTTATTAGCAACGTAGCCTCGAGCAGGGCATTTCTCCCCGGAGCTTTGCTGGCCTCGTTTGTAAAATGGGGAGAATGACATCCGTAGCCCTAGATAACGCCCTGGTTTGAGATGAAGCTCAACTCAGATGAACAAAATAAACCAACAACCTGGAAACAGACTCCTAGATACGGAGAACAGACGGAGAGCTGTCGGGGTGCGGGGTGGGGAGCCGGGCGGAAAAGGCGAAGGAATTAAGCAGAAGAAACGAAAGTAAAACTCACAGACACAAACAACAGCATGGTGATCAGCAGAGGGAAAGGGGGTGGGGGGAGGTGGGAGAGGGTAAAGGGGGATATTTGGTGACAGAAGGAGACTTGGCTTGGGGTGGTGAACACACAAGACAACATACAGATGATGTATTATAGAAGTGTCACCTGAAACCTATTTAATTTTATTAACTAATATCATCCCAATATATTCAATAAAAATTAAAAAAAGAAAAGAGAATGTATGAGTCAGCGCAAAGAAGGCATGGAAACTGAAGGAATCAGCACTCACGTGCGAGGATAGAAAGCTCGGGAGCAAACCTAAGCGCTTTGCTTAGGAACATGTTTCCAAAGAACCTTCTCTGATATGATTTGGACTCAACCCAGATTTGGTTCTCGTAATTCTCAGTCCCCACCCACAGTAATCCTGAGGTCACCATGGACGCTTGATCAGTTTTACATCTTAAAACCTGTGTGTGTGTGTGTGAGTATACACTTGAGAATGAGGAATTGTGTGTCTGTGTGAGTAGGTGGGAAGACAGGTCCATCGATGGGAAAGAGAGTTTTTGCACCTGTGCATCTGCATGTGTCTGTGGGGTGGTGTTCTGTGCATGGACGTCTCTACATACATGTGTGTGGCCACGTGAATGTAGCTGCACCATTTCTGAGCCTAGGTCTGGGAACAGTTCTGTGATAATAGTGATTCTGTTAGAACCTAGACTGTCAGGCTCATTTTACTCCCAAGCCACACAACCAAACCTCCCCTGGCAGCCCTCTTGAGGACAAAGATCTTATCTTTGATTGACAAACTGACTTCATGGTCTCTCCAGCTCCCTTTTCTCTGCTTCCTAACCCTGTTAATGGTGCCAGTACTGCTTCCCCTCAGTTACCAGGCCTAAATCTTGCTTCTTTCTTCTTCCACAAACCCCAACTGTCATTTTTATTTTGCATGTTTTCTCTTTTGTGAATCCACTTTAGGCCTCAGCATGCTGCTCACCTGGGCTCTCCCAAGAACCTCCTAACAGCTCTCTCCTGCATCTGGTTTCTTCTTTTCTCTAACCCATCTCCTAGCCTGCCTTCAGAGGGCTTTTTCCAAAGCATCACTTTATATTGACCTTTAAAGTTCCAGTTTACCATCCCATCCCATAGGTGGGGGACTCAGGGGAAATTTCCCCTGACCTGAGTCTTACAGGTCTCACAGGTATCAGCCAGGTGGTAAAAGGTAATAACCATTCCTGGCAAGGCCAACAGCTTGTGCAAGAGTAAGGAGGCCCAACAGCGCGTGGAAACAATTGGGCAACTGCAAGGATTTCTGCTGCCAGAAACACAACGAACACATTGCATACGTTTAGCACAGGGTCACGAGGACAATGGTCTTTGAAAACCCAATTGATGTGACAACTTGTCCAGCATCAATAACTTTGGTGGGCTTGGGAGGCTGAGAAGCAGCCTAGAAATGAGCTTCTTTTGTAGCCTGTTTCCTTAGTTGCTATTGAGAGAGCTGATGAAGAATCAGTCTTTTGACAATGCAGAAAACCGAAGGTGGGGTTCTCGAAGAGAATGGGGAAGAGCTCGGTTGCATCCTGCTGTGTAGGGAATGGTACCTTTCCTGATTGGCTTTCTCTGACTCATTCATTCTTTTAAGAAATCTTCTCGAACATCCTGCTGATTTTTAGCTAAGCAGACACTCAGATAAGAGTCAGGAACATTCCTTGTGGCTCATAGACCCCTTGTTATTAACATGTATTTGGGATGTGAACACATTTTTCTATTTGCTCTGCTGGATTTCTGTAACTTAGGAACACATTTTGTTTTCACATCTGGGTGGATGTGTATGGATTTTAGTGGCCTCAGAATGCCATGAAATATCTGGAGGCTGTGATAGTGCCAGCTGGCAGGTGTTGAGGAACACAACATCCCCAGAGTCCCCAAGAAGAACATCATTGTCAGCTGGGACTCTTTTTCCAAGACCAACATGTAAAGCCTCCCATTGCTGTTTTCTTAATAAGGCTCTATTACGAGAGGAAGATTATTGCAACAGGAGGCAGGAATGAACAAAGAGAAGATTTGAGTGGAAGAAATAGTGGTTTATTTGGGGAAAGTTTTACGCATTCGAGTTGGCTCAATGCCTGCTCTCAAAATGGTTGCTGGCAACACCAGGCCAATAAAATATCTACTGTCATCCAACCTTGACTCATCTCCATTGCTCCTGGGCTCCTCTGGGTTCCTGAAGGTGAGGGCAACATTGACTTCCTAATCTGAAGAGACACAGTATTCAAGAGCACCCCAGAAGACTGTGATTGATTTCTCCTTAAATGCCTCTCCAACCGCTGGCTGAGAACCAGGGTCCTATTCCATTTCCCCTCGAGTGGCAGGTTGGGATCCTTTAGGGGCCGTGGAAGGCTCCCTCGGTCCGCAGTTTGCTTCTGGACTTCTGCCCTTTCGGAATGCAAAGGGGCTGAGGGAATGGAAAGTACCCCCACCCCATGCATTTCAAAACCTGAGCTGTTTGCTACTGTCAGCTGCAGGGCCTCATTGAAGAGCCCAGGCTGGCAGATGACCTCTTGTAGCCACTGCCCTGCAGCAGGCGGGCAGTGTGTGGCCTGTGGGGTGGGACTGCCGGGCACTGACTGATGAGTGTGTTGGCTTCAACACGTGAACAAATGAATCCCGGACTCCCCAGCTAGGAGCTGCAGGCATGCTTGGGATCGCCCCCACAGCTCGCCTGCCCTCCCTGCCTTTGCTCTTGCATAGCTCACCTCCCCCACCTCGGGTTCCTCTGCCGTTTGGCCACAGCCTGACCTTTGGAGTGAGCGGGGCTTCTCTTCCAGGAGTGCCAGGACCCCCTGAGGCCACAGTAGGGGCAACTGAGTGCTCTGCGTTTTGCAACTTACAAAACACTTTTATCTCAACTATCTGCTTCCTCGAGACAACACGGAAAGGGGATTATTTTGTCCTCCTTGTGCCAGCAGAGGAAACACTTGAGTGAGATAAAAGGGTCCCCCAAGGTGGAGCGGGTAGGGAAATAATGTCTGTCGAGCATCTGCTTCACAGCAATTGCTTCTGGACATCTCCTTGCAGGATTCTCACACAGTGCTAAGAGGACAGCACCTCCCCATTAATGGACATGGCGTGCAGGGCTTCCGGAGGTCAGGCACCTGGTGCCTTCCTCCACCCTTCTATCCCTTCAGCAAACACTCTAGGTGCTCTCGGGAGGAAGGGGACCAGCATTTACTGAGCACTTACTATGCTACAGGCACTTTGCAGGTGTCATTGGTAAATCTCCCGCCCCGCCTCAGGAGGTGTAATTTGTAGGGCATATGCCCAGGGCCTGAGCAGTGTTTAGGAGGGTGCATATGGTAGATGTGAACCCCAATGCCACACTCCAGCTGTATGACTGGGGCACATGGCTTGACCCTTCTAAGCCTCAGTTTTATCATCTCTAAACTGGAGATAATAGGAGTACTTTGCTCACTGCGCGACTTCAAGGTTTGACTAAGATGAGGCACGTGGTACTAACAGCAAACAAGTGTTGCATGTGCACCAGACAGCACGCTAAGAGCTTTATCGACCTGATCCCATTTGTTCTTCTCAAAACCCTAAATGTGAAAAAGCCTAGAACGGAGTCTGGCATATAATAAATGATTATAAGGTTGCAACTGTGATGTGCTGAAGCCAGGCTTTCCCTCAAGTCCGTGTCACTCTGAAGCCTGAGCTGGCATCACTATGAGGTCCTGTTCTGGGAGGAGATGAGGGGTCTCAGGGACATGGGAGGGAACAGGGGTGCGGGGAACAAGGGCCAAGAGCCTTGCAGGAGGGGGTGGAAATGAGATTAGAGGGAGCCAAGAGGAACATGGGGGAGAATGTATACAGATGCTTCTAGAAGTAGGACCTGGAAGGGAAGGACAGAGGTAGGGTGCTGGTACAACTCTGGGAAGCAGTGTCCCCTGTGGCATCCCTGACAATTCACCGCCCAGCACTGAGTGCTCGGGCTGGGCCCGTGGGGTGCGTTCTGTCATGCCTGGAGCACAGTGCCTGGAGAGGATGGTGGCCTGGCCTGTGGACCCATCCCCAGGACTGTGGGAGCCGCCA